TCGAATCTTGTAGAAGTTTGTGGCCAACTGTCAGGAGTTTCATCGACCCGACCTCTCCAACAGAAATCCATGTCAATTTGTGCTTTGTCTAACCCCTGGTTCACAAAATCAAGGGGTGTTCCGTTCAAGAGGGGATCCGAACCACATGTGGGGGAGGCAAACTCCAGATTGATTGATCAGGGCTCAACATTACCCAATGATTCCCCGCCATACCTGAGACTTTGGGACTTTTGGGCTTTAAGAGGGATTTACGACATATCCCACACACACCTTAACTTGTATTATAAGAGCGCGTTTCGAGCGAGCCAGGCCCTGATTGCGCCACAGCGGCGGCTCGGCAACTTCCAGTCAGTCGAGTGCCAGTCGGGTTTGCCTCGGGGAGGACCCCTTCATTTTGAGAGTCAGCAAAGATCGGCTTTTAGGTGTTCAGCGCCTCATTCCGTCTCTTCTCCAACTGCTTTCCTAACGTTTCCTTTTAATCAACCCGAACAATCGGCATGTTTTTTTTGCAACTGCCTCGTGTGGGCGGGTTGCGGGTTGGGCTGTTCTTAGCCCAACTCATCCAAGGGCTGCCTGGCTGGTTGTGCACCCAAAGATGGTAAGTTTTTACTGGCTTCGGCGTCGGTGCAGTGGTGCCCTACAGGCGCCATAGCCCAAAGATGCTCAAGTGGTGTTGGCAGGGATGGACATGGACTGTAGGACAGCCAGCGTATAGGTTCCTTGAGGGTAGCACAACATGCCACCGGTCCCGAAAATGGACCCCTGCCTGCCCCCATTTGGAAGACTATCACCATCCTAAAAAGCTTCCGGTGTACATCCCTCCATGTGTCAATGATCAAACTGCGTACCTCTTTGCTTGGGGTTGTTAGGAACGGTCATCAGCCCCTAAGAAAATTCAGGCAACCATGACAAAGAGGAAACCAGCGCCATGACTGACACGAGTTTTGATCTCGGCCCATGTCGTTGGATGTCACTAAGGTGAAGTACTTGTCCGAGCCCGATAAGCAGTACTCCGAGCAGGAGCTGCGGCCCGCGGCAACCTGAAACTCCCTAGCCCCAAACACCTGTCTACTGGAGGGGTCGGGTCTTCCATTGAAAGCCCCAGGAGCCTCTGAGTAGCACATGTGTGGAAGGGTGTGCCGTACCCCCAAATTTGACCGCATTACTCGTTATTCAGACCTGCCAGTTGATTTTCTCCGACAGGGGAGCTTTTGCATGGCCCTCTTCTTGAGACACCAATTGGCACCTGCAACTTGTCGTGTCGGGGATTCGTGCGTTGTCAACCTACCGATATTCACACCCCAACATAAATGTGACAACGGTAAACTGCGCATGTGGAGGGTTTCCAGCGCCAAAGACCCCTTTTTTGCGTGTGTTTTGAAGGGAAGCCACAGGTACGCCACCCTTTGTCAGGGTTCCCCCTATTTTTCCGATTCTTTTATGTGGGGTGGCTTGGGTAGGGGAAGCCCTCTTGGACAAGAATCAGGTGCTATATATAAAGGGATAGCAGGGAGCACTCTTTGCAGATCACCACGCAATATGAGTCACACGCACCAAACTCCTGTGCATGCTGAGGTCAACTAGCCTTGACCGTGGGTCATACATTGTTATTTGTGATGGGCATTCTATGTCTTGCCTAAATTACGTTCATGCCTTTTCTGAACGAACACACAGCACGCGATATACTCGGAACAACATATGTATCGTCAGGAGACAACAGCTCGACGCGCTTACTGTGCGTGAATGGGGTTATGCACATTGACATCATGATTGAGTATCATGGTTGAAATGTTGCAGTGGCCCCAAGTGTGCTCATGACGGAAGGTAGCAGTTGTTTGTGTCAGCATGTGTGTTGCATCAACATGAGTTGTTTTTGGATGGGGCACCCTCTTGCGGGGTGGTTTTGGAGGGACACCCAACTTCAAGCTGATGTCTGAATTCTACCCAGCTCAAGCGGCCTGGCTCCAGTGCCGCTTTTTTGTCGCACATTGCGGGAGCTAGGGTTGGAGTTGTTTAGATGAACAATCCGACTCCGGTTTCCTAACTGAAACAATCCCTTTCAAGGTGTTAACAATCCAGTTGTTTAAGTTCTGCGGTTTCCTTCAAAGGGACCCAACTGAGGTAGTTCAAACCAAAGTGGTTAAACCATGTTTTAAACAGGGCTCCTGAAAAGATACATTTTGCCCATTTGAAACATGGCTTTTTTCACCATAATAAAGGGAAACCACTATTTACAAGGCAATGTTCAGGTGTATAATGCAAGGATCCCTGTTCCAGTGGTCCCTGGCAGGAGCTGCAGGCCAAGAACGACTTCCTTTGTGCCTTGGGCAGTAAGGTCATACTGCCGCCCACGGCACTGGGCGCCGTGTCCCATTCGTGCTGGGTGAATTATAACGACCTCACACGACCTCACCCCAAATGGTGTTTTTTGTGGGGAACAGCCACCCAACCGCCTTATTTCAGGTTGGTGACATATTACAATTCACCCAGATTCATGCTGCACGTATTTCCGATATGAGCTGTCAACTGAGCCGTGCAGAAAAGATCAAGGTTAGCAAGAGATAGGCACAGCCGGAATAGGTGCGGCTTGGCGCGGCCAGCCTTTGGATACTTTCATGGTTGCGGGGAATTCGACCTTTTTAATACCAGGTTTTGATTCTGTTGAGTGAGTCGCAGCTTTCCCAGCTTTCCCACCACAACCTGCTGCTATTGGTTGGACGCACAAATATAATGGGCTAAACAATTTCAGACATTATTCCATCATCATGAGGTAGCGCGGCTTAGCTCAACCGTGCCCAAAGCTTGCATTTCCTATCTTGAAACAAGGCTTAGTAAGTTGCCTGGATTCAGGGAAACCAACTAGCAGGGATACAGGGGGAACCAGGGATACGGGAAGATTCCCCCCGTTTGATGCACCTTGACTAAGTTTGATATGGGGCCCATGGCGCCAAGTTGGAATCCATTCCCCCATATCGGGACCCGCTCCCTCCGTGTCCCGGCTTGTTTGTTTGTCCAATGGATGTTTCTCCCTGTCCGCGCCCTGGCCTGCGAGGCAGCGACAAAGCTGTGGTGACTTGTCTGGAGAGCGCTGGATCTATTTCTTGGGCATTGGGGAATTGCGGCTGGGTGAGGAGAAATATCTTTGCCACAACGGGGATACTCCAACGCACATGCTCTGCATTTTCCTATATGTTCAGGCCTTCAACAGTTGTGTCTTGATTGTGCCAGATGTGCATCGTGGTGTTAAACTGTAATCTTCGAGACGGTAACACACGTGCCACAGTTAGTTGGTAAACGTTTGTGGGTTTGCAAAGGGGAGTGATACAGCGACACTCATTGAATGCCCAGAAGCCCTCTGGCCGAATTCTTCCGGTTCTGTCCGGGACTCTTCTTGTCAGGAAAGCGCCCCAAACCCAGGAACAAATTGGATGAAGAGAATTGAGAGCCCCTCACTTCGGACAATTTGGAGTAGGTGGTGGGCTATGCTCCTACTGGCAAGTCTTGCAAGCTCCCCTTGAAGAGGTTGCTTTGAATGAGATGGCCAATCGCGGAACGTGGACGTGAGCCTTCTTCAGGTGACCAAAAGAGAGCTAAGCATTTCCAAGCGTATGGCGCCCACACGCATGCCAGCCAGAGGCTAGCACCTGCCAGCTGTTCTCCAGCGACAGGTTCCTGGCGGGTTCAGATGGAGTCCCAAAACGGGGGTCCAATTATTCAAAAGGATTCCAATCCCAAAGGATGTTTGGGGGGGTTCGACGCTTGGGGAGTATCCCTCTCACAGGCCCTTTTTTGGGGGACCTTCCTTTGACTCTTTGGTGATTTTGAGGATGTCGCTTTGGACCAGTGGCACCGGGGTGTTTTCGGTCACGAGGCTTGCATCGGCAGCCACCCCACCTGCTCGGAGTTCCACTTGCCTGCGAAGGCGGCCTTTGAGAGCACGCCCGGAAGCCCCAGCCGGGTGAAGACACGGCTAGAGCTTGTGGTGGAAGTTGGTTAGTTTTAACTGCGTCAACGTGGTTGAATTCAGAGTCAGGGTTGGTTGGGGCCCTGGAGTGAAGTGTATCCCAACGGCTATGTCCCCGAATAGCATCCAGGGCATGAACAACTTGGAGATCGAGTTGGGGTGAACTCATCCAGAGTGCACCTTGCTGACGAGATACCTATTGTGGCTCGTCGACCTGCCAGGTAGCGCAAACAGGAGAACACTTGCAACATGGGGTGTCAGCCTGCGAATTCAGTCAACCTGTGATCAGGTGTCCTGAGCAACAGGATATCATTGCTATCATGTTCTCCCGCTTGAAATATGTATGTCGGGAAACATGTTCTCCCGCCTGAAATATTTATGTCAGGAATCAAGCATGACAGGCAGATTGCCTGGCAGTCTAATTTGTTAAAGTGCGTTCAAACATGGCATCAGAACATATTCCAAGGCTATGTTGAATGTCCAACCCGGCCAGATGAAAGTCTAAGTTCCCCACGCGCCGCTCAATCCAAAGCAGCAATTGCAAGCAATGCCGCCACCCCAACTGACAATCCACACAAATCATCAGGTGTCCAAGGCCTCCGTTTCAGGCGCACTGTCACAGAGCTGCCATCGCGCGTATCTCGAATTGTGTGGCCACACAAGCTGGAGATAGCAATTCTGGAATTTCAATGCCCACTTTTGGATTTGTTGTGTTGCCTTTTGACCCCCTCTCGAGAAATGGAGTGAAGTCCCCCTTTTTTCGAGCGCCGGGAAGTGACCAAGGGGGGTCCCTTCAGGGTCACAAGGCAACAGTCCCAACAAATCAAAGAGCACCACCGCACGCCCCCATAAATATATCCGTGCCTGGCGGAAGCCCGCGGTGCCGTTGTTTTTTGAATAGAGGACCCCTTGCAAGGGCTCGTGTTAACTGGTTCCAGCTTGCACCAGAGGACCAGCATGTTTGTATGGTCCGAAAGGAACCCAGGTGTTAGAACCCACATTTCGTGGGTCACACGCAAAGTCTAAAAGCGCCCAGGAAGTGCCCCGTCACCCTGCGGAGCGAGAGCGCCGCAAAGCAAGGCCCTGCTCCCGAGGCCCGAGCGATGCCATCGTGCCGTCGATGCCACGCTTCCTTGCAGAAACAAGATCCAGAGCCTCCAGCGCCAGTGTTTTCCTTTCTTCACTCTTGCTACCGAAATTCAAGCACCAGAGAGATTGGGTGCCCTCGTGTTCCCGTCCCGGCGGTTTGGGCTGTTGGCCGTTTACCAGTGGGGGTCGAATGTTTGCTTTCGTGGGGACAGCAAGGCCGCAAGGTCTAGTGTGTAGAAGCAACTTACTATTTGAACCATCTTGGAACCAAGAGTCACAGTGAGGTTTTGGAGGATCCCTTGGCCGAGGGCTTGTTTGTTCATCATGTGTCTTGCCGGTTGGCTGAGACCGGAAGGTGACCCGACTCGGGGCCGCTTGCGCATCGGCTGCCAACGGCGTCGTCAAACACCTAGGGTTGTTTTATGGACCGCATCGCTGTCGCGGCCAGAGCGGCCTTTCACCCAGCTCGTGTTCTACAAAGAAATTCCCTGGCGAGACTTGCCCGTTGTCAACAGCAAGTCCTGGCGAGCAAGTCCTGGCGACCACATTGCGCTCGCCACCGCCATACATGGCCCCCCACATCACAATGGCCATCATGCAGTAGCCACAGTAGCCTTCCTTGGGGGGGGGGTCAAAGGAGGAACCTCAACAACGAGCTTCCAAATGGCAAGAGCTCCTGCGTGTGCCCTCGGAGCAGTACACATAGGGATCTCCGTTCCCATGCAATCAATCCCCCCGCCCACTGTCCTTGCCTACAGTAGTGGAGACTGCAAACTGGTTTGCTCTGATTGGCAAGACTTTTTGGGTGTTACTCTGCCAAATACGAGATTTATGCCAGTTTTAAATCATGTTGGGCCCTAAATGTTAAATGGGTTCTAGCTCGAGGGTGGATGGCACCATGATTGTCCTTTGTTGCAAGCCCGTTTGTTAGAACCCGCTGAAGGGGCCCCCCGCTCAGGCGCTTAGGGCTGTTCTTTGGGCTGTTCTTTGGGCTGTTCTCTGGGCTCGCAGGAGCCCAAGGTGGATACGAAGCTTGCGGCAGAGGTGGGGTTGAGAGCCGGTGTCGGACCCAAACAGTTACCCTCCCTCCAACTGACATGGCACCTGTGGGAGGGTACCTGGAAGATCGAGTTCCTCTTGGAGAGACCCCCTTTTAGTGGGAGAGAGGGTACTTGATTTCCCCAAAAAAAGCATGAAGGTGATGGCTGCCGTTGTTTCCATCTTTCCAGACCCCCTGATAGAAAAATCGACAGGCTTAGACCCCGCTTCGGTGCACCTCGTGCAAGTCACCTGCGGCTAATTGGGGGGGAGTCTCCGCCAATTCGTATTCTAGGTCTCCCAGTGGTGCCCTTTTACCCTTTTTTTGGGAAGGGTTCCCCAACTAAAATAGACTACAGAAAAAAAGTACCCTTATTCTCACCTCTCTACTGGAGGAACTAGTATTGTAAGATTGGCTGGAGGTCCAGGCTTCGTCAATTTCTGGCCACCGAATCCAGAGCCCTTTGAGCCTTTCTCGGCAGGCAGACCCTCAGCTGACCGCACAGAAAGCTGCAGAGATCGCGTACAGCAAGAAACAGGAGAAGGCCGCCACCGACCGCCAACGGCGGACAAAAGCCTGTGTGCCTATTTGGTTTCGAAAAACGAGCTATGTCGTAGGTCCTTTGCTTCGGGTCCCGCTTTGGTGTTCAGGTTGTTGGGAATGGTAGAATTGGCAGATGGAATCTGTCAAAATGGCCGGGTGGGTGTGGGGTAGGCGGGGCCAAACAAATGGCAGCGTTCCTGTTGCTTTGCTTTTCAGGCAAGGTGCCGTGATCCTCAAAAATATGCACACATCCTTTCAGACAAACGGGGTCATGCCAAAAACAACTTTTTCAGGAGGGGCTTGGCTCCAAATTTGGGAGCCCAAAACAGGACACACCCGCGCAGAAGCTCCCCACATCGACACGAAGATACCAACTTCTCGCTATTCTTGGGAACAGTTTCTCCTCCAAGCCACATTTCTGTCTTGGAGGATGCCCAGATGCTCAAGTTTCTTGGCCACGGTCGTACGAATGCCAACAGCAAGTGAGGGGATTTCCCCTTTGTTTTGTTTTGGGGGTATGGCTTAGGCTCTGGAGGTTCAATCTCCCAAGCCACCGAGCAAGGCTGGCTAAGGGACAGATACCAAGGCTCATCATTTCAGAGCCCCATGGACTGGCAAGCTGATCCCAAGCTGCAAATCGCACCAAGATTCTGCCCTACGCACACAAAGACCCTTGCGCTGCCAAGCTTAGGCTCACAAGGCGGTTTCTCCGCCAGGCTTCTCCCTACGAACTTTTCCGAGAAGGGCCTTTGGTTTCATCCTGTGGATGCACAACCTCCACTTCGCACCCGTTGGAATGCTTCCATTTGCTTAAGAATATGTTTATTTGTCCCTTTGGTTTTAAAGGGAATCTATGACTACTAGACATATTCTTGTTTTTTTCCAGGGGGCTTAAGCAAATGGAAGAATGGAACACCCTGACTGTGATAACCCCCTGGGCCTACCGGCGCGGGATTTGCCCCGTCCGCACTTTACGGCATTGGTTCCTTGCCAGGAGAAGGCGGACAAGGAGAAGCAGATTTTGGCCTTCGCTGCAAAGCAGAAGAACGCAGGAGCAACGCTTGAGGGCGCATATCAGGTGCACAGCACCTGGCTCCCTGCTTGCTGCTTGTGAGATTTAGGGCCTTTAGGGTATCAACTGCATCTAGATTCGCATCGTCTCACGCCTCGATAATTTGTGGTCTCAACACGCAACCTCACGAATAGTAGGTGTATTCCGGTGTTTTGTTGGACATATGCTTCTCGTTAACTTGGTTCTGACTGGCATGCGTCAAGTTATCCTCCATTGGCAACTTGAGCTAAAGGGTGCTTTGAAAGCATCCCTTAAGAATGCCCTGATTTCAAAGCTTGCCCACGGTATGGTGAAATCCACCACATTGAAACTATGGGAAATCATTGTTTGTTTGGTATTTATAGCGGGGGAATCATTTTGACCGCACAGTGAAACTAATCCTGAGCCATGCCCGAAGCTGAAAAGTAGCTCAGTAGCTCGGTATCCTTTGACAGACAGCCAGAGACCTAAAATTATGCTAGGTCTCCTTACGTCATACACACCAAACTGCCCGCCTGTCGAGAACTCCAGCCCCCTGCATGGAACCCAACGCACCATCATTTGCAGGCGGAACTCCTTTTAGGGCCCACTTGTTTGGCCTCCATGTTAATCTCCCCTCCCCGACTCCCAGGCAAAGGCTTTTTGTCGTAGGTGGGTATGTCTTTTTCTAGGCCACCCCCCAAAATGGTGGCTCTGAAACCACCCAAAAAAGCAGTATATATATATATAATAGATGTATTTATATACATATATATATATATAACATAAAGGACAAAACCAGGTACAGGTATGCGCCCCACGCGCAATACGAGGGTGAAGCCTGTGGGGCTTTGAGGTTCACGTGGGGGTTCGGGTCAGGGACAGAGACCTTGGCTTCTCGGGGTGCACTTCTGATGTTGGGGTCAGATGGGGTCAGATGTGTCACACCTGCTTGTTAGGATGGATCTGCCTATTTTTCAGCGAGCTTCATGTGGGGGTATAACGAGCTCTCCATGACAAAGGTCGCTTGCCTGGAAATCCCTTACAGCTTTCGGATTCTTGACGGCAATCGGGTTGGATCTTTAGACTTGGGAAATCAAGGGTTTTCCACTAAACCCCCCAAGAAATTAAACTTTTTGCAGGGGGGTCAGCAGCCACCAAGGATTTGTAGTGCAATTTGCAGAATCCTTTTGACCGGACTGAGAATCGTAGAGAATCTGAGGGAGATGTGGCCATCCACAGGTTTGACCAAGTCAATAAGTTGACACTGAGTAAAGCGTGCTCGTTGAGTCTCAAGTGTTTTCGCTGGGATCCTCTTGCGCAGGCAGCTCATAGCCGCTCTTTTTCTGGCGTCTCCAAGGGGTTGATTATCTATTTTCTTCAAGCATCTGTTTTTCAATCAGCCATGTCGAGGAACTCAATTGTTCATGTATTCATAGTTCAATTGCCCACTGTGCGATGGGCCATCATTTCAAGCATTCAGGGGTGAGTTACCAAGCATGTGGCCCCCGAATCATCCTGTGCCCAATGTTGATCCTTCGGAGCCAAACACCGGCCTTCCTGGCACAACGGTGAAGAAGCCGCTTCAAGCAAGGCCTTCGCTTCGCTGCAAAGGAAAGTAAGCCAGCCAACCGGAAATGCAAGTGATGTGTGTTTGTGTGGAGAGTTGGAACATCAGCCCGTGAAATTCATGCGGACAGAATGTGTAATCCCCGGCGCCAAGATGAGGAGTCGAGCTTGTCTACACCTTGCGTTTGGAGGGGGCACAGCACTCCCCAGCCCCCAATGGACCCGTCTCCCCTCAATCCACGATTTTATTCACCAGGTTAACATGAAACCCCAACACGTCACTTTTAGAGGAGCCCGCTTTGGTGGGCTCCATCTTAACGTGCAGGGGGAGTATGTGCAAGTGACCAGGCGGCCGGCCTTTGCATATTTTGTTTGTCAGGAGCTGAGGAGGAACTTGAAGCGACCAAGAAAGCCAAGGCTGGCCGTGGCTGTGTCTGATTCTGATGGTCCCTGTTTTGGGTTACGCACGCAATATAAACAAATATCCGTGTTTCAGGTGCCCGCCCAAAATAAAGACAACCCCATGCTTGTGTAGCACACTTTGACGTGTTCAGAACTCCTGAGAAATATTTTAAACACGTAGTCCTACTGTGGATTGACAACATCCTGCACCAGTTGGGGTGGATGAGACCCTATGAAGATCGGAATCAACCTATCAACTGGCGCACTACACAAGCTTTCCTTGATGATACCTAGGACCTCACGGCTGCGATTGGGTTGAGTCGAGTGAGCATTGCTGGAAGCGTCTCTGCCAATTTCGCAAACATAGGCCCTCTGACCTCCAGTGCCAATTCAAATCCACAGGTCTGGGATCTGAAAGTGGCTTCCTTCAAAAGGACGTTGAAGGAGCTTTTTCGATTATTGTTTGCTGGGCCCGGAAAGACCCACGTGTGGTTTCTCCTCATGTGCTCAGCTTCTTTGCGTTTCGCTGGAATCCTCTGACAAACATGGTTTGCAACCCAGCCGACTTCCTCTTCAGGTACCCTTTCACGTTTTTTGCTTTCATTTGTGTAGCTGAGATTGCGCGCCGCGACTTGGGCTGTTACACAACTGGTAAGAGCCATATCATGCTGGGGCTCTTTGCAGCCTTTATAAAGAATCAACGGGCACTTGAAACAGGAATGAAAAGGGGAAGTGCCCTTCAGAAACGCGACCCAATCCCCATGCTGTTCCATGATTGCCAGGGGCTTTGGCGGGCGCATTGGCCATAGAGTGATAAAGTCCGGTCCACTTTAAGCAGTCTTGCAAGCTCAGTGCCAACATGACCTCGTGGTCGCAAAGCCAAATAGGCATGTCAGACATTGCAATGACATGTTCCATACCTCATGTTAAGGAAGGACATCTATGTTGATGCTTTTATGCTGTGCGTGCAAGCCCATAACACCCATGTTATAGTTTCCGCTTTGGCTGGAATGATACCAGGGTTGGTCTAAAAATGGAGGAAGCGCCACCATCGATGGGCCCTCTGGTACTACCAGCCGAAAGAGGAGTATCTCCCGATACGACACCTCCCGATACGACACGCCCGCATAAAAATGTTGCTTTGGTGTAGACACAGGAGGGTATGGTACATTCGACTCATGGAGACTAGGTTTCGCAGTGAATGGCCGGCAACAAGGGAAAAGGCGTGCTGCGGCACTAATTATGTTGAATTCTAAAAAGCACACACGGTGGAGCGAGCCATGAAGCTCATAATGCCAACCTCTTCGAGACATGATGCAAAACCATTGCAAACCCACATCACAACTAAACTAGCACAAATTTGCACAAACCAATCAATCAGGATATGTATAAAGTGTTATGTTGCCAGTTTCGGATATGAACTGCCTTTCGTACAGTCATTATAGTTTTAACTTGTCCAAATTACATTATAGTGTTTTTTTGTACAACATTACATGTCGAATAATCCTACCAGAAACAACAACATACATCGTATCACGACAATATTCCTTCTCAAGGTCAACAACGTCATAACTTAAGGCGTTCAATCTAAGTTGCATTTCCAAACCCTAAAGCAACTATCCTACAACCATTCATGAACCCCTTGCTCTTGTTGCCATTGTGTGTCTCAACTATCGACTTGGCCGAGCTCCCTCATTTGGTGCCTTTTTGGTGCCTCCTTTCTGGTTAAATAACACCCGTGCAGAGGAACATGGGGGGGGGGTAGTAAGAGGAACCCATGTCTTTTGGTTCTGTGTCTTGGTACCTGTCTGGTTCCATGGGATCCCAGTTTCCGATAAAATCCTGGCTGAAAGCCTTCAGGCAGAAGAAGCGGCGGAGGCGAAGAAGAAGGCAGGGTTGGGTCCAAGAAACCCTGCCTAGCTGTGGACATATTATGGGTATGGGTCAACATTAAATCACCAGGGGACCACAGGTCTTAGTCCATGTTTCCATTTACCAGG